ATAATTCCTAGCTCTGCAACAAGAAAAGATGTAAACGAGCTGGACAATGGCAGATGAGCAGAGATTTCTAGGTAAGGCTACTGCCCAAAAATTGGCCAAAGGGAAAGGTAGAACGTGGCTCTGGCAGGACGAAAAGTAAAAGTAAGAAATTTATGAATTTGTTTCGCCCGATCGACCAAGAAAGCGGAAAGGAAAGCAAAGGAAAAGTCAGCTGGTCAGTAGCTGGTCAGAGATCGCAGAGCCAGCTGGTTGGTTCTCTAACGAGGCGCCTGACCATTCCAAATCGATTTCATTTAAAATCAAATTTATGAGACATAAACGTCGTATGGGATACTGCCCCATCCTGAAGGACATTCCTCTCATATTTGTGCTGTTTTTTTTTTTGCAAATCCCCGATCCTCGATCCCCGACCGCAGAAGGAAAACCTCAAAGCAAAGATGGACCTGGGAAACAATCAAATGCTCATCATTGACAATCTCACCGCATAAATATTAAACACAAATACGATTCCAATATTATTTCGTTTTATGACCGGCCATTGGGCCGACTCGGGAGCAGCTGACAAGACGAGCTGGAATCCCAGGAAAAAATCCCATTTCCCATTGCACTTTCTTCCACCTTTTTGGTGACTTTCTTTCTGGGATTTTTGCAGCCATTGTCTTCGGGCCTGGCACTTCATAAATATGTCATATTTAATAGAGTACTGTGAGTACTATGAGCTACTGAGCCACCACCACCGGGATGTCCTGTCCTCTCACTTGCTTTCTCCTTGCTGGCATTGTCAAGAATTTTTGATTGACTCGAATCCTCCAGCCGGGTGTATGTTCTTTTTTTGCGCTTTTTGACGAAAAAAATCATCCTCAGGGTGGAGAGGGCCTTTGTAGAAAAAAAAAAGGTAAAAAATGTACTTTTCTTCCCCGATCATTGTAAGATGATCTCGGGACAGTCGTGTCATAAATTTGATATTTAATCGTTTTGGGCTGCGAATACAATTTAAATTCTTCTAAATTATTAATTTAGGAATTCCATATTCTCAGAGTCTCACTCTGATGTCTGATGTCATCTTATAGAAAGGCCTTAAACATAGATTAGATTGTCTTCGATAAGGTTGGTCAGAATTCTGAACTAATATAGATAGACATATTTTTAAAGAAAAAGAATGATTGTTTCTTGGAGTGACGAGCTAGTTTGGACTTTGGAAAATAAAACTTCCATTTGCTAATAGCTTGGGTCTGTAATTTTGAAAATGAATTTAACAAATACCCTAAAGCTGATAAGACAGCTCCATTTTCCCCATTATGTGGAGGGAGATAACGAGTGATTTTCTATTTGCTTTCGGTTACTTTTTATTATTTTACTGCCGCGTGTTTTGCAATTTACTTTTTCTGTAGCCTCATGATAAATGGGTTTCAACACACTCAGAGTATCAGTTCCAAGGCCCCAAACTGATAAAACCCCGAAGAAAGGAACTCGGTTCTCAGTGGCAACTGGAAACAAGTTTGGTTTCTTGAAGAAACCAAAATGGAGTACTGCCCAAGGATGCTTTATTACCTGAGGACATAAATCTGCCAGCCAATGACAGCATCCAGGGCTAGACTCCTTAACCCCTTTCCCTGAACCCCTGGGCGTGGTCTCTCGAGTGCCGGCTCTTCCCGGCGAGCCATTTTAACCTTCAACCGTGTTTGGACAGCAAATTGAATAAAGAATTAAGTGAAATTGCCCGCTCGGAATCCAATTCATCAAACACATGCTCCGAGTGATCTCCGCCAGCTCTCGCTGATATTCGCCAGCCATCTGCTGGTTGCGATGTTCGCGGGTTTGCTAATGATGCGTGAATTTCTGTGTCAAATTGGAAATGTTTCTGCTGGATTTCTGGCCGATGAAGTCATGGCTCTAGTAACTAGTAGTGTATCTGACGGATTCGGATACAGTTTCAGGTACACACCCCTTCCTCTGGCATTGCTGCCCCGGCGGAGGAACCTTCAAGTGTCGCAGTCATTCATGCAGAACAACAGTTGGACGAGCTGGTGTTCCCCGCTGGCGCTTCAGTTTCCCATTTGTTTTCTATGACTTGTAATTAATTGGAAAAAGTAACTATAACTGGGATTGGCGAGTGCTAGAGAGTTAATTTCGTTTGCAGAGTGAGGAGAGTACGCCAGGTAGACCCTATTCCGGTCACTTTTCCGGCCTGTGACATCCTCAGCCTGCTTCCCAGCCTCCTTCGCCCGCTCCTCGTGTAATCTTGTTTGTGCGATCGCCCTTTTTGCTCCGAAATCATTTGTGGGCTTTGCTAATTTTCTTTGCCTTTTGTTGTTCCCCTAGAGGATGGGAAGGAGAGGTCTTCCTGCTCTTCCTCGACAACAACCTGGCCGTGATCTTCTTTCACCGATCACCGATCTCGGCCCGAAAACAAACGGCCAGCCAGACAAAAAGAAAGTAAATCAGATTTTGGAGCAGATGTGCAGAACGTTTGCAGAAACTGCACTAACGAATTGAGAAAGGTACCAACGAAACGCCAACACCAGCCTCGAAAGAAAGGCATCCAGAGTGAGGGTCTCTAGATTTATGGCCTCTTGTTCTCCTGGTCTCTGGCCCGGAAGACTGGACACTGTCGACACGGCACGGCCTACCTAAATATTTTCGTAGGCATCGCAATGCAAATAGGCATGTGATTTATTTCGGAGGTCTTTTCATAATTTCTCGAAGGAGGCAGGGGCCTATGGCTTATTAAAATCATATTATTGAAACCAAAAGTATCAAAACATGCAAGGCAGATTTCAATAGATGAGTTATAGCTTATCTAATTAGCGGAAATTGAGGTTCAGGCTGAACCGCAGCTGATTATAGCCTAAATACTCATATTCAGAATGTATTTTCTCTTCATTTTTATGGCTTGCGATGTCCTTCAGCTGTGTTTTGTGGAAAGGACAGTCGTAAAAGTGGACCCGATGACAGTTCTAACTGCTCCCAACTCCTAGTTTGTGGCTACCGTAAACAACTAAACGGTTGTAAAAATTTAACGACTCAACTAGGCGCCTCCTGGTCAAATAGAATAAATGGATATGTGTGTATCTCCAAGATGCCTGGCACGCTTCCACTGATAATTCTCAACTCCCAGCTGCTTGTCATAAAAGCATGCTATCTATATCTCGGAAGACTGTGGGTCGTGAGGTCACCTGGTCTCGGTCTCGGCCAAGAAAACACGTTTTCCCGAACCAGAGCTGTAATGGAAAATGAAAATTTCATATTGTTCGCTAATTAAAATGCTTAACCCACATCAAGGGCCCTAAATCCCAGCCTTCTTATCGCCTCAATGCCAAAAGTGTACAAAACACAAACAAATAAAGGCAGGAAATAAAGGATAACACATCCAGGACCAACAGAGAAACCCCTTTGGAACAACAAACAAGTCGGACACTTTCTATCCTTCTATGTAAATGGAAAGTTCGGAGATCGAAGCTAGTTTGCATACGTAATTATTTTGGGAATTTTGACAGCGATGGCGACATTTGACATGAGTTTGAGTTACGATCCCAGAGAGATAGAGATGCAGTCGCCTTACAGGGTTACTGGGCTGGGAAGAATGGAAGAAAGGGTTGCCCACGGCCACTGCTGGTGGTTTGAACTTCACACATAAGCCGATCGCTATCCTGGACCGATCCGATCTGAGCCGATCCGATCCCTCGGGCGGCAGTTAACCCCCAACCCAACCCAACCCATCCCATCCCATCCCATGGCCCAGACAGTTGACATCATTAGTCAAACTTAAAGATGCATTTGTAACTGGCTTGTAGCTGTAAGCGCTTTAGGCTAATGACGAGCCATTAATTAGGTGGGATCTGCTTAGACGATTTGTTACAATTCGAGCACTGATCGCGGAGACCAAGGAACCAGTCTTTCCTAAGACATCCGCCATTCTGAATCTCAAACCGAAGCCCATTACCCTTTTTCCCCAGCGGAGCATGCAAATTGCAAAACCGCGCTAATTTTTCGTCCCAGCCCTCTGGGCGCGTATCACTTTCAATTGGATGGAACAATTGAAACGGTCTCCTTTTGAGGCATTTATTTCGGTATTCGGTATTCCCAGTATTATATAACAAAAGGCATATTTATTTCGTTTTAATTTGTAATTTTGCGCTCTGGTCAGCGCGGCGAGAGTCCAGGCCAAACCAGTTGAACTTGTTGTCTTGTCTTGTCCATCTTCTTGACTGGCAAACGAAACGGGTTCCTAGCCAGATGACAACCCCTTGAGAGGGGCCGTATCCATGTCCCTGGACATGTCGCTGTCGCTGTCGCTGACCATCCTTCGAAGGCTAAGTCCTCCTTGTTTACTTAACAAACTCTTAACAACTCATAATAGAGCAATTTTCACGTATTTCGGGGTGCAGTAAATCAACGCTGTTCGACTGGTCACTCCTTCCACAGGGAGGACCTCCAATCTGGTGTAGATGTGAAATCGATCATGGGCACTAGGAGTTCTGCTGGGAAGATCTGTTGGTGGCGCAACAGATGGCGGCACCTCCAATCTCAGATAGAAAAAAGCTCCATCGCAACAGCTGGCTTGCCTTGGATAGCCATCTGAGGCATATACGCTAACCTTGAGATCCTGACATACCCTAAGTCTTGTGGAGTGACTGCGAGCCGACAATGAGCTAATTTAAATCAAAAAAGTGTTCGAGCAACTGACAATTGAAAAGCTTCAGCTTCGGAGAGGGGCAGGGCCAGACAATTGCCGAAAATTGAAAAGGAAGCTCGGTCTTGGGCTCGAGGCTGTCAATCAAAGGATGGATGATGAATGTGCCTTGTACGGTCTACATACATTTGCATAATGATGGGAGGATGGGAGGATGGGTTCTCGAGAGCTGGAAACTTTTGCCCGCGACATGTAGGTCAGAAGGGAAACGGGTTCCGAGATCGCTAATTACGCTGCAGGGACTTCTTTTTCAAAACTAAATCGAAACTCTTGTTGCTAATGATGATTTGATGCCCTCTCCTTACAGATTCGTTTGTGAACAGCCAGGAATGGACGATTTCGCGCTCGGTTCCCGATCTCAGGCTGGGAATCGTCGGGTCGCTCAACTCCGGCAAGTCGGCGCTGGTGCACCGGTATCTGACCGGCTCCTACATGCAGGAGGAGTCCCCCGAGGGTGGCCGCTTCAAGAAGGAGGTCTTTATCGATGGCCAGAGCTACTTGCTGCTCATCCGCGACGAGGGTGGAGCTCCCGAAATGCAGGTGAGTTATCGAAGGGACTCTAAAATGGGCATGGGAATGGGGGTGACTCTTGGCCGGAAAAGTTTCTCCTGCCGTAGACAAATAAATTTTCCCTTATCATCTTGTAAATATTTGAATTGAGGTCAGCGTGGGATCAACTGGGGAAACTTCTTGGGTTTCGGGGGTTGTTGGCCGGGACTCGGGGTTCTTTTTTTTTTTTTTATCAATATAATTTGATTGAAAGCTTGGGAACTACGACTCCAGTGCTGGCTTAAGGTAACTTTTATTCTTTTTAGCCTTATAAGTTTCCCCCTGCAGCAATTATCCAAGTTTCTGCCACTCGACTTGCCCCAAACTTTGTGCCCCAAAGGGCTGTAGGCAGCCCTGATGACTCACTGGCCAATCGAGCTCCAACCTTTGGCATGGACTTTGTCGCAACGGCAGATAAGCGTCTCTCCGCCAGCTTTTTGCTGGCCATTATGGCAATACGTGATGCAGCATCATCTACTCCTGGCGTCGAGCCAATACACCAAAAGGTTAGAGGTTGATCGGGACAATGCCGGGCTCTCGACTGATTGAGAGCAAACCCCCTGCCTCAAGCTCGGCCGCCCTGCATCAACCCCTGCCCCGGACTACCACCAGTTGGGCAATCAAAGTTCCTCCCAATCCCGCTCCGAATGCAATTGAATTCCGTCTTTTGTCAATACGGGGCAGCAGCAGCGTAATTAAAGTGAACTTAACCACGGGGCTATTTACATTCGAACAGGGCCTTGACTCATTGATTCCCCCGAGGCTTCTCTGGCTCAGTGGCTCAAGGAGCTTTTGTTCGGCACTCGGCTTTGATATATAGTCCATATATATATTCATGTATTATATATTCGCATTTAAAATTTGCAATTGCAGTTTATAATCCCCGGCTACCCCCGGGGGTCTGGCCCTGGGCCTGAGCCCGAGGCTTAAAGGGTGAAAGTGAGGATTATAAATTTTAAGCTGCTTTCGCCTTTCACTAGTCCCGCTCATTTTTTATTTGCGGTTCTATTTACACGACCTACTACTAGAGGAGGGAGGGGGGAAGAGGGGAGGTACTCTAGGGGGTTGCTTGGCAAAAAATGTGCCAGACACGCGACCCTCGAAATCCCAATAATATCCCTATAATCTCCACTGACTGACAGGCTTTTGCTATTTCCTGCTGACTCCCGTTGTTATCAATTTTTTTTTTATTTAAATTTTCGATTTAATTAGAAGTTTGAAGAATTTTTGCAAGTCAAGCAGATGATTGACCTAAATTATCGTTAGGATGCATAACAAAGTATTACCTATTTAAGGGGGAAGTACATAATTGCAGGAGTACAGTTTGAGAAGAACAGTACAGTTTTAGAGAAGTCTTTTTACAGTTTTAGAGCCACTGTGCTATTAACCATTTTTCGCGCTTCACTTCACCTCGAAAACTGTCAAACTGTCAATCAACCCTCGCACTTGAGAGATCCTCCCCCTTAACCACCCTCCCCCCCCTAGAGTGAATTCTGGGTTACTTTTGTAATTCTTTCCAATTCACAAATTCGAAGCAAACGATTCCAACTAATTTCCCATCACTTTCTTTGGAAAATAATAATAAACCCATATTTCATAAGCAAAATAACCCTCATTTGTGTCAGAGCCAGCAAAAGTTAACCCCCCCCAAGACCATCAGCCCACCCTCGCCAGTGGCAGTCGCCCGACTTTGGGCGGAATCACTCATTCAATGGGTGACTCGTCGCCACTCGGTCGCGTTTTTAGTTTTTCCTTTTTATTGTGTCCTGCGACGAAGGATATCATTACCATATACATACGAGGGGAGCGGGGGGACGTCTGAAGCGACAACAATATTGCATGCGACAAGGAATCGTCGATTCTCGAATGTACTTGTCGAGACAACTACACCCATGACCCTTTCAATAGGAGCTTAAAATGAAAATTATTTTAAAAAAATAATAATTTTTATAATTTTATATTAAAGATTAAAAAATAAAATATAAAATATTAAAAACACTTTTTAAATCATTTTTAAAAAAGAGCTTATATTTTCGTAACTTGCACTGTACTGGCAACCCTGGTTTTTGTTTTTCCCCCTTTGGTAGCATACATATGTGTGCAGTAAGCACTCACAGTAACCCCCCCTTACTCACACACACACACACAGGCGCTTCCTGTGTAGCATCTGTGTGGGTTCGAGCCTTCAGTCGCCGCCTGATGCAACTTTTTTGCTTCCCCGCTTTGGGCTCTGGTTCGTCGTTTTGCTTTCCTGTTTCCTCTCCATACATTTTCACAACAAATCATAAAAAGTGCCAATGATGTTGGGGGCGGGGTGGGGTGGCAGGCACCCAGCTTGCCAACCAACCAACCACCCAGCCACCCACCCACTCGGCAGGCAGCACAGCAGACTGTCCTCGTTGCCAGGATATTCTGGCTGGCAGTTGTTTGTCGACTGGCGTCGCGTGCGGGCGGCTTTTTATCCTCCGGCTGCTGGCTAGTGCTCTGCTGTGACAGGATAACGCAATACATACACACACACACACACTCGGCACTCGTCTCCATGAGCGAGTTATGTACATAAATAATTGAGAAATAGAGTCCAGGTAAAGGCCTTTTGGTAAATATTTAATTGATTTGCTCGAAGGACATTCAATCAATATTAACTGGAAGACCGAAGACCGAGGACTCCTTGAATGGCAATGGCAATCCTGCGCAGCAACACCAGACCCTGTTTACATCCCATATAAAGGTTCATTATCCTGCCAAACTGAGACGGTATGGGGGGTGTGGGGTGTAAGGGGTGTGTGTGTATGCCAGCCATACGAAAATCATTAAAAAGTTTAACACACGCCCGGCGAGCGGAGCTGGAGGCTTCAAGTGCTTCATTAGCGACTTTCTCAAGTGTGTGTGGACTCCTTTCCAGGACTCCAGGAGCTCCTTCTCAGGTTATGTGTCCATTGTTTGGCTTGCTTCCGCCAGACATTGCATTTTTTGTTTACTCCCCCCTCCCTCGAGCTCGATTCTCGCAAAGTCAAGGACTCGTCGCGGCCCAAAACGCTCTCTTTGTTTTTAAGGATTTCTGCTGCCAACCCCCTCGCATATTTCTCATACCCAATATTTGCATCCTCGCCTCCTTACAGTTCGCTGGCTGGGTGGATGCCGTAATCTTTGTGTTCAGCCTGGAGAACGAGGGCAGCTTCAACACCGTCTACAACTACTACACCAAAATGGCGCACTTTCGCAACGGCCAGGACATACCCATGATATTGGTGGGGACGCAAGGTAAGTTCATATTTTAATATTTTTAAGCTTAGATATTTTTAAGATATTGTTACAAATATTAAAAAAATTCTTATGAATATTGATTATACTATCGAGTCTTGCGTAACTTGTAAGCTATAACTTGTAACTGATACCTGATAATTATAAGGTTCTTAACCCCCCAAGGGTTTACGTAATAAGGCGTATTTAAGAATGTTCTTATAATTTAGAACCCTATATTTAGAACCTATTAACCCCTTATAATAGTAACTGACTGATACATGTACTTACTCCTCCAAAAGTACGATGTATGATGTCATGATTCTTAGGAGTTCTTAGGAGTACAGTATACTACCCTATCTTTACAATATTTAAAAATTTTAATATCCCTTTTTTAGATGCCATCAGTGAGCGTAATCCCCGCGTGATTGATGACACCCGTGCCAGGAAGCTGGCCAGTGATCTGAAGCGATGCTCCTACTACGAGACCTGCGCCACCTATGGCTTGAATGTGGAGCGCGTCTTTCAAGATGGTAAGTTATCCGGACATACACTGAAAGAAACCATAAGCTAACAAATCTTGTGTTACCCAACAGCCTGCCAGAAGATCCTGTCCCAGCGCCTGCCCCTACCGCCCCAAGTCCAACCGGCGAGGCCCACCACCCCGCAGGGCAGTCGCCTGGGACTGGGGCCCTACCAAGCGCCCACCAACGGACAGCGCAGCCAGCAGCAGTTGCCTCTGCGGATGAGTGCCGACTTCGCCCAGGCCGAGCAGAAGCACTGGTCCCTGCAGGCCAGTGCCTCCTCCTCGTCGGTGGCAGCCACCACGAACGAGAACAACAACATTACCAAATACAATCCTGGAGCGGCCAACCCGTTGCAGGGCGACTGCTCGCAGGTACAGCTGCGGGATCCCCGAGATCTGGCTCCACCGCCGGGGAAGGAGCTGCCCACACCGACCTCTACCCCCACAACCAGCAGGAAGAGCCGGCGACGCTCCAACTTGTTCATTCCCTCCTCCTCGAAGAAGGCCGACAAGGAGAAGGATCCCAAGGGCAGCGAACTGGGAAGTGGCAGGTCGATTCCCATCAAGCAGGGCTACCTGTACAAGCGCTCCAGCAAGTCGCTGAACAAGGAGTGGAAGAAGAAGTACGTGACGCTGTGCGACGACGGGAGGCTGACCTACCATCCGTCGCTCCACGACTACATGGACGATGTGCACGGCAAGGAGATTCCGCTGCAGTACGTCACGGTGAAGGTGCCCGGGCAGAAGCCACGCGGCTCCAAGAGCATTATTACAAACAGTGCGCTGACCAGCTCGCTCCTGGCCAACGGGCAGAGGGCCCAGAACACGCTGAGCGACGGAATCGGTTGCCTTACGCTGGCCAAGGATAACCAGCGCAAGCTGAACGAGAAGCTGTCGCTCCTGGGCGCCGGGTCGGGAGCAGCTCAAGCAGAGCCCCTCAAGTCGAACAGTTCGCAGCAAACCAGCGGGGACGAGGGCATAGCCATGTCCAACTCCAACTCCCAGACCTTTAACCCCGGCGAGGCGGCGGCTGTAGCCGGCAAGTTGGAGGCCCAGACTCCGAATGTCAAGAAGCGCCACCGCCGCATGAAGAGCAGCAGCGTGAAGGCGAACGAGGCGGATGACAATGACGGCTACGAGTTCTACATCGTCTCGCTGGACTCCAAGCAGTGGCACTTTGAGGCCGCCAACTCGGAGGAGCGCGACGAGTGGGTGGCGGCTGTCGAGCAGGAGATCTTCAAGAGCCTGCAGAGCATAGAGAGCAGCAAGACCAAGCAGGTAACCAGCACTGACCTGGCCGCCATGTTGGCCATCCGGCAGCGGGTGCCAGGCAATGGATACTGCGTTGACTGCGGAGCACCAAGTAAGTTCTAATTGGAGACATGGTTTCGGGAGACCCTTACTTATTTCCTTACTTTCCAGATCCGGAATGGGCTAGCTTGAATCTGGGAGTGCTCATGTGCATCGAGTGCTCGGGCGTGCATCGCAACCTGGGCTCGCACATCTCCAAGGTTCGCTCCTTGGGACTGGATGACTGGCCGTAAGTAACTCTTGTTTTCAAACCAACACCTCAGATTCTAATCAAAACTCTGCCCGTCTCCCCAGATCTCCCCATCTGAGTGTGATGCTCGCCATTGGCAACAGTCTGGCCAACTCCGTTTGGGAGTCGAATACCAGGCAGCGGGTGAAGCCGACGACTCAGGCCAGCCGGGAGGAGAAGGAGCGGTGGATACGGAGCAAGTACGAGGCCAAGGAGTTCCTCACCCCACTCGGCAGTGGCGCCTCAGGGCATCCCAGCCCCAGTCCGGGCCAGCAGTTGATCGAGGCGGTGATTCGAGCTGACATTAAGTCGATCGTTTCCATTCTGGCCAACTGCCCGGCGGAGGTGACCAACGCGAACGTTAGCGCGCGGGATGTGCGCACTCCCCTGCTGCTAGCCTGTGCCATCGGCAACCTGGCCATCGCCCAGCTCCTGATTTGGGTAAGCATCCAGCTAAAATAATACTACATTTTATAGATTACTTATGAGTCCGCTTTTTCCCTCCCAGAACGGAGCCAACATCAAGCACACGGACCACGAGGGACGCACCTGCTTGGCCTATGCCCGGGCTGCCCAGTCCCTGGCCACGGCCAAGTCGATGAAGGCCGCCGCTGCCGCGCAGGCCGGCACCACCATCCCGGCCCCAGCACCTCCGGCCAACGGCGGGATACCTGCACCCCAATACAACGTCGAGGACACGACGGCGCTGGTGGAGCTGCTGGAGGGGTTGGGCTGCCCGGAGGCGGCTCCCCTGACCGCCAGCGGAACGCTGCCGCGGAGACGCGACACGCTCGGCACGCCGTACGAGAAGTCGGTGTCGGGTGTGATCTGAGTAGAGTAGCTAAATTTCCGATAAGATTACCGTGGATTAGCTGATCCAATGTGAAACTGATTCGATTTTGTTGTATGTGTAACTGGAGTAGTTTAATTTCGAGAGTAAATCTGTATAGCGACTTTTAGGAATAGGTTTTAGGAATGTTGTGCAAATGTTTTACTATTATTATTATTATTATTTGGCGAGCGTTGAATGGAAATTCACAGGATTTATTTATGTTTTTAGTTTGTTTAGTTCCTAAGACCTCGAAACCTGTACAGCCCTGTTGTAATCTCAAGTGTATAATTTATTATTTTCTTATTACGCATTACTACCATAATTGTTTTTTATCGTGTGCAGGTTTTTTTTATGTCGTTTGCAAAACAACCAATTAGTAATATTATTTTCCACAAGATCATTCAAAAGACTATAAAAAAAAGAGAGAAGAATTATATATAAATAGCACTTAGCAATAGGCACAAGCTGATGCAAAATATACGTATAAACGGAATGAATCTAAGATTAAAGCCAAAAACAAACTTATACTATTCAATATACACAAACACATACATTATATACATAGTTGAAATTGCTTGATAATCGGTTATAAAGAACGAACATGCCTATAAAGTAGCTTATGCTGAACCAAAATCACAAAACAGACAAACTCCCTGCTAATAGAAACCTAAAAGAAACCTTTAAAGCTCGTCTAACAGGTGGCATCTAAGAATTTAATATTCAAAGGTGTTGACGAATCTGTGCCGAAAATTGAATTGAAAGTATTTCAAACAAATTATACAAAATAGTTATAAATCAATCTATAATTACTATATGTATACACCCCCAATATATATATTGTGTACGCTATTTGTACGAATTACAAACCACACCACGTGACAAACGCAATCTAATTGGACGGAGAGTAGCACACAAAAACCCAAAAACCACAAAAAAATTACAAAAACGAAAAATCTTTAAATAAAAATCTATTAAAATTTTACAAAATTATTGTTTTTAATGTTGACTGGGGCCATAAAAAGTATCTTTATGATCCTACAACTTAGGTGCTAACGTACGGTTCGAATCGGGAAATATAACTTAAGAATAGATTGACTTTAAACAGTGGCGGATTTAAGGAAAAAAGGCCCAGTGGGCAAAATTTTTTCAGGGTACATCAGGGTAAATCTTAAAAATATTTTGTTCCCAGATTTTGATGCAGATTTATGGAGAATCGATCCACAAATCGTTTAAGGTATTCCGCTCAAGAATCGGATGAATATTTCCTAAGATATGGCCTACGCAGTGGGTCATATGGGGCTCCCCATGCATTTTGCAAATTTTGAAGGGGACAGCCCAGAAAATTTGACAAAAAATCTTAAAAATATTTTGTCCCCAGATTTTGATGCAGATTTATAGAGAATCGATCCACAAATCGTTTAAAGTATTCCGCTCAAGAATCGGATGAATATTTCCTAAGATATGGCCTACGCAGTGGGTCATATGGGGCTCCCCATTCATTTTGCATATTTTGAAGGGGACAAGCCAGAAAATTTGACAAAAAATCTTAAAAATATTTTTTTCCCAGATTTTGATGCAGATTTATAGAGAATCGATCCACAAATCGTTTAAAGTATTCCGCTCAAGAATCGGATGAATATTTCCTAAGATATGGCCTACGCAGTGGGTCATATGGGGCTCCCCATGCATTTTGCACATTTTGAAGGGGACAGCCCAGAAAATTTGACAAAAAATCTTAAAAATATTTTGTTCCCAGATTTTGATGCAGATTTATGGAGAATCGATCCACAAATCGTTTAAGGTATTCCGCTCAAGAATCGGATGAATATTTCCTAAGATATGGCCTACGCAGTGGGTCATATGGGGCTCCCCATTCATTTTGCACATTTTGAAGGGGACAGCCCAGAAAATTTGACAAAAAATCTTACAAATATTTTGTTCCCAGATTTTGATGCAGATTTATGAAGAATCGATCCACAAATCGTTTAAAGTATTCCGCTCAAGAATCGGATGAATATTTCCTAAGATATGGCCTACGCAGTGGGTCATATGGGGCTCCCCATTCATTTTGCATATTTTGAAGGGGACAAGCCAGAAAATTTGACAAAAAATCTTAAAAATATTTTTTTCCCAGATTTTGATGCAGATTTATAGAGAATCGATCCACAAATCGTTTAAAGTATTCCGCTCAAGAATCGGATGAATATTTCCTAAGATATGGCCTACGCAGTGGGTCATATGGGGCTCCCCATGCATTTTGCACATTTTGAAGGGGACAGCCCAGAAAATTTGACAAAAAATCTTAAAAATATTTTGTTCCCAGATTTTGATGCAGATTTATGGAGAATCGATCCACAAATCGTTTAAGGCATTCCGTTCAAGAATCGGATGAATATTTCCTAAGATATGGCCTACACAGTGGGTCATTTGGGGCTCCCCATGCATTTTGCACATTTTGAAGGGCCCAGCCCAGAAAATTTGACAAAAAATCTTTAAAATATTTTGTTCCCTGATTTTGATGCAGATTTATGGAGAATCGATCCACAAATCGTTTAAGGTATTCCGTTCAAGGATCGGATGAATATTTCCTAAGATATGGCCTTCGCATTGGGTCATACGGGGCTCCCCATGCATTTTGCATTTTCAAAGAAAAAGCAATAATATATATTCTACTATATAGGTAGACTAGAACAATTTAAATTTATTCAAAATCCTAACTAATATTATTCTAATGATCCTTATTTTTAAACCCAAAGCAAAACGGAGAGAAAGCAAAGTGATGAGATAGGACCATTTTATTTCGAACATAATCCTATAATTATAGTATTGACCCTACTATCCATCTGTAATACAGTTACTGAACCCATCCTACCCATCCTAAAATAAAAAATATAGATTTTTGTGGTAGGGCGGTTTTATTGAAACAAACAAATTCTAACAAGCTTTCAATTTGGAAACGAATGGTTTGAATGATGGAGAATTTTGTTTATATAAGTGCGACATTTTTCCTTATTTTGTTGATGGGAAGTTGCATTGCGAGTCCCTCGGGAGGGACGTTAGTTGGGACTTCATTACATTGTAAGTTGTTAAACGTATATGGTTGTAAAACGAAAGTCACGCGAATCAGGTTATCCTAAGCGTGCAATTTGAAATGTGTTCCGTGGACTGCCGAACCGAGAACGAAACACAACTGTAGAAGGTCGAGAGGCGCTGGAAGCACAGTCCAGCTCGAAGCAGGGAAGGCGGAACGGAAAGTGGTGATCGACGTGGTTGATTGAGAAACTAACCGATTTGCAGGCTGATCCACTCTGGTCGCTGTCATTCCGCTCTCGTTCTCCTTGGCCTCATCCAGCCTTGACCCTCGCCTTCTCCTAGGTTTACATTTTTTTTTGATTGGTTTTTAGTCTTGATTTTGGTGTTTTTTTTTATTCTGATGTGTTCTGGCCATTTGTCCATTTAACATTAGCTGGGGTTCGTCATCGTATTTGCCATCGAGTTGAAAGTGAACGTTTTTGATTGATATTCTGTTATGGTTTGGTCTAAACACAACAAGCAAAATCCACGCAATGCTGCTGCTGCATGGCTGTTATCCGCTGATGGAAACAGTTCTCGGTTTCAGATTTTTTTTTTTCGGTTTTTTTTTGGTTGTGGGGGAAACAGTTTTACGGGCACAACCGAGGCTACAGCAGCGATTGCTGGTTTGGTTTTGCCGTCGTCCGCTGGTCACGGCCATCGTTAACTTTGGAACTCCATGTAGTTTTTTGGTTGTACAGAGAGAACACGCTCGCACCCTTTTTTGCTCGCTCGATTGCATCTGGTCTGCAGTTGCCCTTGCCGTCCTAGCCGCTCCTCTCGGACCAGTTCATTTTTTGTTGGCCTTGAACTTGGCGTAAAAGCTCTGGATCTGGGCGTAGCGTACGGGTATGGAGTCCAGGATGCCGGTGTAGCTGAAGTTTTGCTGCTGGCGGTTCTTCTCGTGCAGATTATCGCCCGACAAGTAGGTAACAACGTTCTTTTGCAGCTCGCTTACGTGCGGATCGGCATGGTTGGCCACCAAGTGATTGCAGAACTGGGCAATCTGCAGAAAAACTGAAGCGTCACGATCTGGAAACACAAAAGCATTAGTTGCCACTTTCACTTGGAAGGTCGTCATCATGCAATAAACTCACCCATCTTGCGCGATATCTTCAGGAGGGAAAGAGGCTGGCTCTCGTTATCGCGCTGGGCACGCAAGTGACGATTGCCGTGCTTGAACTCCTGCTCCAGCCAGCGGATGACATGACGTACGTTCTCACTGCGCTTTTTCAAGTCATCCAGCTCATTAAGTACTAAACGGGGTGATAAAATAGATTAGATAGTTTCATTAAATGATTCAGGAATAATGAATAGAAAGGTGGAATGTTATACTTTGTTTTGGAAAAGAAATACTAAGAATTCAAGAGTTCGGAACTTGGCCTATATCAGAAATATACTTGGCATAAAGTTTGTGATATCTATACTATGTACATGGTATTATTATGTTTAAAGTATGTATCCCTGCTAAAGCCATGTAAAAAATCGTATCCTACCCCCCTGTTATCATGTAATATGCAAACGAATCAGCCCACCCTCCTCTCAGGACACTCACCTGCATTCGGAATGAGGACAATGCACTTCTTGGTCCTCACCAGCGACTTGACAATGCCATTGTATTCGGTCAATGCCTTGGAATCGACCACAACAAACGGGGACATCACCACATGGGCGGGACTGTCACGGAGTTCCTCCTCGAGGGCCTCCACTTCGTTTTGCAGCCACAGCTTGCCCATGAGTTCGCACTTCTTCGACATGGCCTCCGAACGCTCCTCGTCGGCGCCCGAGCTCGATTGTACGTTGAGCTTTTCAATGACGCTGTTGGTGGTCGTGGAGGCGGAGGTGCCGCCAGCTACTGAGGTGCCAGTGGCGCTTGCCAAGGCGGCTGCCGCTTTCTCGGCATTCCGATTCCTTAGGTAGCCTTTGCGCGGCACCTTGCGGCACTCCTCCACGGTATCCTTCTCCTCGTTGCTGGTGTAGCTCTTGCGCACAATGCCGTTCTTGCGGTCCGAGTAGCGACGAGTACGCCCCTCATTGCGCTTGGTGCGATTGGTTTTCGGAGCGGTGCGGCGTTCGCGACGCCGGGAGCCGCCACCTTTCTTCTCCTCGCGCTGTTTCTTCTTCTGGTTCTCAGTGAAGCGGCGGGTCTTCACGCAGAACCGGTAGTTGAACTTCTTCTGCTTGCAAATGAAGAACCCGAAGTCGACCATCTTGAAGATGCGGAGAATGGACTCCTCCTGCGGAGTGACTCGCTCCCGAATGATGGTCTCCCAGTCGAGGGTGATTTGGGTGCTTTGGAAGATGTCGAAGTTCTTGAAAGCAAAGTCCTCAGTAAGGGGAACGTTGGCGCGGACGTCGAAGAGCTCGACCAGTGAATCCCGGACATTCGAGGTGGTCAACAGCTCGCGCTCGAAGTACACCTTCCTGGTGAAGACGTCTATGTTGCAGTAGTTCAGCAGCTTCATGATCTTGTGCACAAACTCCGGATTCGAGTGGTAGCATCCGATTAGAATCTCCGGATTAATTCGCAGCCAATCGAAGAGCATCTTCAGAGCTCTGATGGTCGGCTCGTTGTGCAGGCAATCGATGATAATGTTCGGGTTGATCTTGGTGTACTTGTTGCGGTAAACCAGCTTCTTGGGCGGCTCTGAGAAGGTGATCGGTGCCGGTGGCGGCTGCGAATCCTGCTCCTGGTTTCCCTGCGACTCTTCGGCGCTCTTGAAGTTCAGCTGCAAGACTTCAAAGCTGCGAAGCAGCTCCTCCGAGTCTGCCTCCTGCGAATTGGACCTGCGCTCAGCTTCCTCGGGATAAATGATTTTCTCCTCCTCAATGACCACGTCCTCGCTATCTGAGTAAGCTCCGCCAGATTTGCGCTCTTTCTTGCTATACGAACCTGCAACGAATATTGTGTTTTGAATGAAAATGTATCCATACTTTTCAGGAATTCAAACTCACCTGTTTCATAGCGTTCATCTCCTCCTCGTTCTCCCGGATCAGCAGCGTCTATGTCACTGAAATCCGTATCGAAATTGGAGCTCAAATCAGTGTAATCCTCCTCGTCGCTGTAAAAGTCCGTGTCCATTTCGCTTTCGCTGTCGTAGCATGAACTGTCATCCGACTGGGCGATCTTGCGGCGACGACGTCGCAGGCGCATGCCGCGCCGCTTGCTCTTACAGGAGAGCGGGGTCTTGAGGTCGCTCTCCTTGGCCTCATCGCTGGACCGGGTCGACACTGCCTCGCCAATCTTTTCGCCGTCGGTGGCTTCTTGGGTTTTCACCTCTTCGCCAGAGTTCTGACTGGCGCGCGAGTCGGAGCTGCAGTCCTTGAGGGAGTGTGGACGCGGCACCATCTTCTTGTCCTTTCGCTCGCACTCGCCCACGGCGGCCAGCCAGTTCTTGTACTCATTGCGGGACTTGCGCACCACCGTATCGAACTCCTGGAAGCGCTTCTCATACTCGGCCTGGAAGAGCTCGTTGTCTGCGGATCGCGATAGGATCGTCTGCTCAATGTTGACGATGCAGGCGTCCATCAGATCCGAGCAGGCGGCCACCAAGAAAGCGTGCAGCGAGTACACCTTGGGCGAGTTAATCATCTTCAGCTTGGAGAGGCAGAAGAACAGGATCGAAACGATTTTAAAGATGCTGGGCTCCGGCACGCGCAGCTGCTGCGAGCAAAGGATCTTCCGCAGATCGATCAGGACGCAGTGGCACAGCGAATTGAAGTCCGGGACCTCCTTGTCGAAGAAGAAGATGTCCACTATCAAGTAGAAGCGCGCGAAGAAGTCCTCGATGTTGAAGTCCAGTTTCTCGGGGTCCATCTGCTCCAGATACTCGGTGTGCTTCACAAACAGCTTGTTGAGGTTGTTTTCGCTCAGCTCGAAGGGTATGATGCAGACCAGCGAATAAAGGTAGTGGTAGGTCGAGTCCAAGTCGTGGTTCTGGCCGTAGTAAAGCGTGCCTAGTTGGTTTTGGGCCATTCCAATGGCCGGGTTCAGCTTAAAAGCTTCCAGGTAGTACTTGGCCACCTGCTCCTTGTCGATGCTCAGCTTGCTGTCGATGCGAAAGTCCAGAAAGTAGCGATGGAGATCTCCCAAGCTGAGCAGAGATGAGTGTATGGTGTCTAGGGCGAAGGACACGGCCTCGAGGCTCTTGTCAACGGCCTGGGTGCCCTGGTGCGACACTTCCCGTGAATCGCCGATCATGTCGCTTATGTAGCCATCACTGATGATTGAGAAGTCAATGAGATACTTTAGGTCCAGGTCGTAGATCTCCTCCATGCGCGCCGACAGGCGTTTGTAGTTGAAGATGCCGGCACAGAGGAAGCGCTCCAGCTTCTGCATGTTTTCGTGGCTCTTGGCAGCATCCACTCCCTGCTTGTGCCAGTACTTCTTGACGAAAGCGATGAACTCGTAGTAGCCGCGCCGCCACATCACCTCACGCACCTTCTTGCCCACCGACTGGTAGTCCTTGAATATGATCTGCTTGCACAGCTGCACCAGAATGGAGCGCTTTTCCTCGATTTCGTGCTGGAAAAGCTGCTCAACGGACTGTACATTCTTCTTGGCCTCGTCCAGCTGTTTCGATGCCGTATAAAGAGACCTGCCGAGATAGAAGTAATAGATATAGAGAGCCTCTAGTTAGGGGATTAGGACTGCCTACCTGTACAGATCCTTAACCTCCTGGCTAAGCAAGCAGGAGGAGCCGTTGTGCGGCTCTAGGCAGCGGTTGCGATTTGTGCCGCCGTCCATGGCACACTCGCTAGAGGCGTTAGAGCCCCCAGAGCTGAGTGTCGTCTCCATTACGAGATCTTCTGGAAGAAAACAACAAAAAATATTATGGACCTTCTTTAGCTCCTTGTCTATTGCCTCGTGGACCACCAACACCCACACGATGCTCGACTTCTCCAGCTGTTTCTCGATTGCACGGTGTTTTTTTTTTCTTTTTTGCTGACGAATTGTTTTTCTCGAAATAAATTTACTTTTCTCGTAGTGTTTTTGTTTTTGTTTCTCAACTGGTGACGCACACAAACACACGGGCAGTCGGGGTGCCTAGGTGTGCGTGTGTGTGGCGTAGTTTCGTTTTATTGAATAATCAATTAAACTGTGTTGCTTTGCTGCCTTTGCTTTTGCGACTGCTCTGGTATTTTCGATTCCGCGACATATGTAGCCATCCGCCGTAACGCCTTCCATACGCAGCAGCTGCACCGCCGTCCAGGTAGAAGTTTCCCAAAAGTCTACCTGCCAGATATGCATTACCTTTGAGTGGGTTTTAGATTTTGTTGCAGAATTTCACGTTTTGCGTTTGCCTTTCTTTGTTGAACAACTGACTTGCGCGGTGCTGCGAGCCCAGCTGTTTTATGGCGATTTCTAGCCATTTTGACTGACGACACGGTCGGTTCGAGAACGCTTATTTTAATCCTCAAAAACAGATGGTTTAGCCGTAGACAATGGATGTGCTTACTTAAAACTTAATTTCAATTTATTTTGACTTTTTTTTTTAAAATTATTTTCGAGTTTGTTTTGATTCACCTTATTCAGCTGATCAATAAGGCGGTATGCACGGTCAGACCGTGCAGCACACAATGTTGTATAAGACATTTTTTAGTGTTATTTTTAATGTTATATAAAAAATGTTAGCTACCTCTTTAGAATAGAAGCCAGGCAAAAAAAAGGAAAAACCTTTCCAAAGAAATGTTTCTGGAGAACTGTTTTCTAATTCAGCCTGAATATCTCAACCACAACAGTGCTGTAAAACGTCACAAGTGACAAAAAATCTGGCCACGCTAAAAAACTGGTAGCACACATCTTATGGTGGATTTGGTGAGTTCAAAATTTCAAACTCCACTGATAAATTTTCACCATGCCTCAGAACGATGGCTACTGGGCGCATTATTTGAATTGCAAACGGTTACACAGTTTTAAAACAAACAAACTTAAAGACAAATAAGGATAGTTCATCAACCCAAGATATTTATTATCAATTAGCAGGCAAATGTAACACGAAAAGTACATTAGCCCCTTATTTAGTTCGGAGGCTTTGCATTTTTTTGTCAACAATAAAAGAGAGATTTATGGACATTTGTTTATTTTTGGATTGGAAATGATCGCCTTGCCTTGTCATCTTTCTTTCGGGAGAGCCTTCAAAATTTGCTAATGAAGCCTCCAACTAAGAAATGTGTCAGGCATATTAATGATCCCATCGTCGGCTTAGTTGCGTTTCTACCTGACGGAGTATCAAATCCCTACATATCAAGCTGGCTTACTTGCGAGCGCATTAGGGGGGAACAGAGTTAGCTTGTTATTAATATTAAATAATATTAAAAATGTATGTTAATAATTATAAAAATTATAAACTATAGTATGTATCTTAAATAATGTTTTGCACGGTTTAGGAATATATAAGGAAGCTACGATAATGGCAAAACTTATTTTGAAGCGTGTGGAAAAAACTTTAAAATTTTAAATCAAATTATTTAATTTAAAATTAAATTTTCGCAAGTAACAGTAAGGGTGTTTTTGAAAGTTCAATTTATAATTTTGTTGGAGTACTTAAAAAAATTGTTTTATTTGTTATTTAAAAATAAATATACATTTTAATATGAAATAAGCTATTTAGATGACTGTATAAATTATATAAAGAAATTATGTTTAAATTTAAAAAAGGGCTACAGTAGTTTTATAATCTTAATTATAATTTATAAACATTAGAATAGATAATATATGGAGTTGCGGGAAAAACTCTTTACCCTTCATAAGTAAAAGCTTTATTAATTTTTTCCAATTACAATTTTGACATGATGTATTATTCGATCATCAAAAAAAGTTAATTTTTTTTAACTGTGTCCCCCCTTATAATAAATAATGCTCGGGTTTATCTGACAATTCTCTCGGCAAGCTGGCCGATTAGCTATGGTGACGTCTCGAGCCGATCGGCCCTCTTTTTAATGCACTGGAAAAAATTACAAATTTTATTTAAATTATTTATTAGTGTTTACATAGCAGTGAGTTTTTACACTCACTATCTTTTAAACCCCACAACTTCAACCTAAATAAATAGGTAGCATAATAGATAAAATAAAATAATTTTATTAAGATATTATTTGCTATTATACATATAATTTAATATATGACAATATAAAATAATAATGACAATTAAAAAAAAAGAATTGTGCTTTTTTATATAAATTTATTTTATATAGAATTTATACACCTACATATATAAATGAAAAATACTCTCAGTGTGCTTAGTACTTGACTATAAAACTCACGCATCTAAACGCAAGCATTTTCAGTTTCAGTTCAGCTCGCCGGCGGGTCGGTCGTTTCTATATTATTCCGGAGACCTTCTCGGACCTTTCATCAGTTAATAGCTACGTATAGTAAGTTTCTCTTTCGGCGTCTCATTAGAACTGAAGATCTTGGATCAAGCCATTCCCCCCAGCTTACAATTAGCGAACTTGCGAATAGCCTTTGTTTAATTAAAATTGTAATTGCTTCTTGAAATGAACGTGCTGATTATGATGTAATTAGTCGGTAACTATTATTGCCTTTTATTGGTGTCAATATAGTTGAAATTCGATTTCACCCGTCGCTATAATCCTGCGGTAATCTTATCTGCATCAGCTTATACACGGCTTGGATCCATAATATTTACCGACAGTCATCCCGCTGGACATGGTTATAAATTTTGGAATAACTCGAACACTATTTGGGGGCACTCAGCCGATCTTATCGGGGATATTTACGATCCTGATACGGACATATGTATACATATATGCTTGTTTAGGGCTTTTCCTTACACAAAATGTGCAATTTCGAATAGTGGCTGCACATGCCCCATAGATAAAAATGTCATTAGACCTTAATTTTCCTATATTACTATCTGCGGAAAGCCCTATTTGCAAAGCCCTATTCTAACTACACCCTGTACAGACTAATATGTTTTCAATTTGTTTTAAAATTATCTTCTTAATGGGCAACTTACGTCTAGTTTAGTTCCCTGCGTTTAAAATTGATTTTGTAATTGATTACGACTATAAATGGTTAGTTCTTATCTGTTTTTGTTTCTGAAAGTTCTCTGGAACATGTGTATATATAAGTAGGTGCTTCACATTCACTTGAGACAAATATGGTATAATAGTATACATCAAGTGTTTGATGTCTGACCCCAAAAGTCAGTCCAAAGCGAGGCATATGTATTAATCAATTATCTGAGAGCGTCTCCCCACGTCATCGGGTTGGCATCACACAATGTCGTAAAACTTATCAAAATTCAAAAATGTTTAATATTAATTTCTAGGCGAGAAAGTCGGAGCACAAAATGAAACTGTTTGTGATAGCCTTTCTGGCTATGCTGGCGGTGAGTTTGAATGTCCATATGTGGTAAACAAGAACCGGTTTATGATTCTTTGTATACCAATTTTTAGTTGTCAAACGCCTTGGTCAAGGAGGAGATCCAGGCCAAGGAATATCTGGATAACCTTAACAAGGAACTGGCCAAGCGTACCAATGTAGAAACAGAGGCAGCCTGGGCCTACGCCTCCAACATCAACGATGAGAACGAGAAAAAAAAGAACGAGATCTCCGCTGAGCTGGCCAAGTTTATGAAGGAGGTGGCCAGCGATGTCCAGAAGTTCCAGTGGCGCAGCTTCCAGTCGGAGGACATCAAGAGACAGTTCAAGTCCCTTAACAAGCTCGGCTACGCCGCCCTGCCCGAGGCCGATTATGCCGAATTCCTGGAGACTGTCTCCTCCATGGAGTCCAACTTTGCCAAGGTTAAGGTCTGTGACTACAAGGACGCCACCAAGTGCGACCTGGCTCTGGAGCCGGAGATCGAGGAGGTGATCAGCAAGAGTCGCGACCACGAGGAGCTCAAGTACTACTGGAGAGAGTTCTACGACAAGGCCGGCACAGCCGTCCGGTCCCAGTTCGAGCGATATGTGGAGCTTAACACCAAGGCGGCTCATCTCAACAGTGAGTTTATTAGAAGTATTTTATTTTAGAATTTAGTCAGAGTAATTTTTTAATTCTAACTTGTGGACATGTTAAGTTTGTTTGTTTTTAATTTGCAAGGAAAAACGACTAGAAATTATAAATATGATTTATAGTATAATATATTACGTTTCCTATTAGTTTTTAGACTTATTTAATATTTAATATTTTAACCACCCTAATGTTTCTCTCTGTAGACTTTACCTCTGGCGCAGAGTCCTGGTTGGATGAGTACGAAGACGAAACATTTGAAAAGCAGCTGGAGGACATCTTTGCCGAAATCCGTCCTCTGTACGAGCAGATCCATGGCTATGTGCGTTCCCGCCTGCGTAAGTACTACGGCGATGAGGTGGTATCCGAAACTGGACCGATCCCCATGCACCTTTTGGGCAACATGTGGGCCCAGCAGTGGTCCGAAATCGCGGACATTGTGTCGCCTTTCCCCGACAAGCCACTGGTTGATGTCAGTGAAGAGATGGAAAAGCAGGGATACACTCCACTGAAGATGTTTCAAATGGGCGATGACTTCTTTACCTCCATGAACCTCACAAAAATGCCGCAGTAAGTTTTCAGACAGCTGGAGATGCTAAGCTGGATATTAATTATTTTTACTTCCAGGGCCTTCTGGGACAAGTCCATCATTGAGAAGCCCACTGACGGACGAGATCTCATTTGCCATGCCAGTGCCTGGGACTTTTATCTCACTGACGACGTGCGCATCAAGCAGTGCACCCGCGTCACCCAGGATCAGCTCTTCACCGTCCACCACGAGATGGGCCACATTCAGTATTTCCTGCAGTATCAGCACCAGCCGTTCGTCTATCGCACCGGTGCCAATCCGGGTTTCCATGAGGCCGTCGGCGATGTACTTTCCCTTTCGGTCTCAACGCCCAAGCATCTGGAGAAGATTGGCCTCCTGAAGAACTATGTGAGCGACGAGGAAGCCCGCATCAACCAGTTGTTCCTCACTGCCCTGGACAAGATTGTGTTCTTGCCCTTCGCCTTCACCATGGACAAGTACCGCTGGTCGTTATTCCGCGGAGAAGTGGACAAGGCCAACTGGAACTGTGCGTTCTGGAAGCTGCGGGAGGAGTACTCCGGCATCGAACCACCAGTAGTGCGCACCGAGAAGGACTTTGATGCCCCTGCCAAATATCACGTATCCGCAGATGTCGAGTATCTGAGGTTGGTAGTTCCTCATCTTTATTCTATATATTAGATTAAAAATCAATGCTTAAATGTTTTGCAGATACCTAGTTTCCTTCATCATTCAGTTTCAGTTCTACAAATCAGCCTGTATTAAGGCTGGCCAGTACGATGTGAACAACCCTGAACTGCCCCTGGACAATTGCGATATCTACGGCAGTGCTGCAGCTGGCGCAGCTTTCCAGTAAGCTCAAGAACTAATATTGATTATAATCATCTAATCTTATATCCCAAAACCTTAGCAATATGCTTTCCTTGGGAGCTTCTAAGCCTTGGCCTGATGCACTGGAGGCCTTCAACGGAGAACGCACCATGTCTGGCAAGGCTATTGCCGAATACTTTGAGCCCCTTAGAGTGTGGCTGGAGGCGGATAACATCAAGAACAATGTCCACATTGGCTGGACTGCTTCAGACAGTAAGTTACATTTTGTAGAATAGTAATATTTTAAATATTAATGTATTTCTTCTTTTCAGAATGTGTTGCTTCTTAACTGGCATTGCTTTTTAGTTTTATTGAGTTCATTGCCTAATAAAGTTTTACAATGTCTTACTAGTTTAAATACTCCGAAGGGGTTTTCTTTGGGAAAACTAAGAGTAGTTTTCTCTAGAATCTGCAACTTAAAAACATGGTTACTGGGAAAAATTGTGGCTGAAACAAGTTTAATAGACTTTTCTAAATGAATACAAAATAGTCTGAAACGTTGGATAAACTAACGAGTTTAAGAGAGCCAGTGTAGAGTAGTTATGTTGAGTAAACACGTTGTGGTGCCGGCAAGTGGGGCACATTATAATTACAAATAACCACCGGCTCGATTCGGTGACCATGGAGTGTCGATAGCCCAAGCCAGTTGCCTTATGGAGCTGCGCAAGTGCAGAACGTTCGCACAGTTTGGGCTTGGAAGAAATAGTGCCGGGAATATCAATGAACCCACTAATAGAGTTGCGAAAGTGAATTGAGTAGAAAGTGTGGAAATATGTGGCTGTGTTTAGGGGTCTTGGTAAGAAACAACCTTTTTATACAAAAGTGATATCTTTTAAAATGCTCCCTTTTAAGTTTATGTTGGCCCTCGCCAAGGCAAATCCTTCACCCGACCCGATTCTTGAAACATTTCTAAATGAAACAAACCACCAACTGGCTGTCATTTACGATCAAGCTGTTCTGGCTCAGTTGCTGAGTGAACTGCGTGGACCCAATGACTTGGTGGCCCTCTTAGAGATCGAGGTCACTGATGAGAAGCTTCTAAAGTTCGTTAGAACCCTAACAACGCGAAAGGCCAAGTTCAAGCGGCTCGGACTGGGGGATGCGCACCAAAAAAGGCAGCTTGCCAAGTTTCCACAACTGGGCTATGAGGCCCTGCCCTCCAGGGATTTGGATCGGGTCTATGCTCTGGCCTCCAAACTAAGTGATAATTACAAAAATGTAAACCTGTGTGCTTATAGGCAACCAAGTAATTGCTCGTTACGACTCATACCCGAAGTTCAATCCATAGTACAAGCTAGTCGCGATTTGGAGGAGATCGAATATTACTGGTTCGAGTGGCGAAACCGAACGGGTCTGGCCACCAGACCCCAGTTCATAGCTTTCATGGAGCTTTATAAGAAGACAGCCCAGTTGAATGGTTATCCTCGGGCCGAGGACTACTGGTTCCGGTCTTTGGAGTTGAAGGCCAAGGACACTATGGCCCTTCTCGATCACATAATGCATGGATTGCGGCCGCTGTTCCTTCAATTCCATGCGCATGTCCGAGGCTCACTGAGGAAGATGCATGGAGAGCACCTGGTGCCCAGGAACAGGCCGTATCCCCAGCATTTGGCAGAGGTTTTCATAGGCAATGCCTTTAGGCGGGTCGAGGCCGAATGGTATATGGATTTGCCTTCTCCTCCGACGGGTCTGCTGAATATCACCCAGGAGATGCATCGTCAAGGGATGACCACCACCCAAAGGATATTTTGGAATGTGGCCGAGTACTTTAGAGGCTTAGGTTTACCTTGGTTGGAAGGGTAAGTTTAATAGTCTAGAAGGGGATATATTAGTTTCTGATATATTTTTTTTACCCCAGCTCCCTTTGGAAGTATGCGCAACCTGTGTCCTTTGAGGATGATGATCGTTGTTGGCATAAAGCCTGGCGTTACTATGCTCTGCCGAGGATGAACTTTACCTACTGTCCTTTAAAAGATGAGGAGCGTTTCTTCAACATGTTCGAGGCCCAGAGCGATGTCCATTTCTATAGGTCTGCCTCGGTTCAACCAACACTGTTTCAGGAGGAACCATTCCCGAATTTCAGTGATGCGATAGGAAAGTGTTTCTCTTTGGCAGCCAGTTCCCCGCGTTATCTTCAAAAATTGGGATTGGTCAGGGATAAAAAATGGAAAGAGCTTCCGGCTCGACTTAATCGACTTTATGTGCTGGGACTGAGGACTATTTTCCTTCTTCCAGTTTTTTATGTCCTCGATCGGTATCGTGTGGAAGTCCTGAGTGGCCATATCGCAGCCGATGATAACGAAGCCTATTGGAGGTTCACTGAATACTACACGGGTGCAAGGGCTCCCACGAAAAGGACCAACGAGCAGTTTGATGTTCCAGCCAAGCTTTTGATGGAAGTGGATGACCAATATGCAAGGTAATGTTTTCTATCCTAAGTAACTAAAATATTTAATCATTTAAAAATTATTACTAATTTATTTCAGCCAATTTCTGAGCATCGTCCTTCAGTTTCAGCTGCTCAAAAAGTTTTGCATTCAAACAGGGCAGTTCGAAAAAGACAATCCTAGAAAACCAATGGATTTGTGCGATCTCTCCGATCATCGAGAAATTGGTACTGCCCTCCAGAAGGCCATGTCCTTGGGTTCTTCGGTCCACTACAGAGAAGTTCTGCGAGAACTGGTGGGGGAGCCTGAGATTAGTATAGATGGATTGCTGGCTTACTTCCAGCCATTGCAGGATTGGTTGCAGGAACAGAATTTAAAAAACAATCTTGAAGTAGGCTGGATTTGAGAAGGTCTTAATAAAAACCATTTTAAAAAACGTACTGTATTAATGAATCTTCACACTAAAAAGATTTTAAATATTCTGTTATTAAATATAAAAAATCATATGTAATTTTTCTTGTTGATATATAACTTCAATATAAACCAAATGCTTTTTATTGAAAATTACAACTGAGAGGTAAATCAAATCAAGATTTCTTGTGTTACTCCTAAATGTATGCTAGAGGTACTTGAAAAATATCATTAATAAAGTACACCTAAAAATATGTTGGAAAGTTTTTATCAAGAGACTACACCAACTTCGAAAATAGTGGCTTTGGGAAGGGCACTGTTTTTTTTAAGTGTACTGTTTATAAGGATGTTTTGGTAAAAAGAAACCTGGTTTCAGATTTCGTTTTATTTTAAGTCAAATTGTTGTTTATTCATTTTGTATTTGTGGTTTTCAGTTACCCATCTTTTAACAAAATTCAAAAATTTTGTGTCGTGCTGTTGTTTTGTTTGGAACGACCCTTCCGCCATGGCGGCCGACGGCGTTTATTCGTGCGAGTTTGAGGTGTTCGGCAAGGTGCAAGGCGTCTACTTCCGTCGGCACGCCATGAGGAAAGCCAAGAACCTGGGTCTCCGCGGCTGGTGCATGAACACGGACCGAGGCACTGTGAGGGGATACATTGAAGGTCGACCCGCCGAGGTGAATGTCATGAAGGAGTGGCTCAAGAACACCGGCAGCCCCCTGTCCAATGTCGAGAGAGTCAAGTTCACTAGTGAGCGGAAGCGGCAAAGATATGGTTTTGCCAATTTTCATATTAGGCCCGATGCCAAGTCCGAGCCAGGCGGAGCCCACGAAAAGAGGTCGGAAAATTAGAAATGACAGCACACAGAAAAAGCTCTCATCCCGGAACCCATTCAACGTCAGGAAATGCCAACAAAAGATTCTAAAAAAATATATAAACCAAACTACCTAACAATAGGTAGACCGCAAATGATTTTTCTTTCTGCTCTAACCTAATCCAATATAGTTTCTTAAACAAACAAGGGAAGCAGATTTATAATTAAATCAGTTCCTATTAGAAATCTAAATAGTTTTCACCTAAAGCTACCCTAATGATGATTAACTTGTGCAAAGAGCTCGGCATTGTTTAGCTTTAATTACCGGAATGAATCTGAAACAAATGCAAAACATAAGCGAGTACTACAATTAAGATGCACTTGATGACTCTCGGAGGCTCTTCGCTCAATAGCCTCATATTACAGTCGAACAAATGGCTATAGTTGGGAATAAATATATATATTATTGGCGGTACGTGCTTAATGTGCGTCAAGCTAAGTGGTCGGTGCTTTTTCAAAGTATTGACTTACACAAGCTACTCACTCGTAAAGATTAATTACTTACTGGGCACTGGGCGCTATTTTCCCACGGTTCTTACAGGGCCAGATCAGGTATTTCTATATTAAACTGTTCTTACAGGGCTGGCGCTTGGGTGTGATGTGATATTTCTAAATATTTCTACCGTCTACAGCTCGACCTTGACTCTTAATTAGCGTAGAGCCGAATATACATCTAATTTTTTTAGGGATATACAAGCAGCCAACCAAATCATAAATTTTGCAAATATTTATGAGCTCATTTCCTAGGTAGAAAGACTCCACAGATCCCAATCTAATTATAGTCTGAATCACATATCTTTCGCATATTCCGTGCACTCTCGTTTGTCTGGCAATCAAGCCATCAATCAGCGTGCCAAGTCATTCAATTCATTTGCTCGGCCAGTCATGACACACAAGTCAGCACCTGAGAGGATAGTTTTCTCCCCATGTCCCCGTATCTTGAGCATCTCCAGTAATCGTTCCCTTATCATGAGTCAACCTTTTCACGTGATTCTGTGTCACCATTGCACTTTCCAGCGGCGAGGGTGTAGCGCTCTCGAACCCAACACCTTGCATTTTAATAGTCAGTTTCTTAGTCGTGAAAATTGTTATTATAATAAGAAAATTCGATTCAGGTGAATCATTAACATTAAGTAACATAGAGTCTAAAAAGCAAATAATAGGAAAAAGTTTAAAAAAAGATGATATGGTAAACATATCTGATTTTACTATGTTGAAGTCATTTTCCACATTAAGCTTCTGAAGTAATTCAAGTTTACCGGCTTGTGGAACCAATATTTACATGCCCAACTGCATCGAAATCACACCACATTAGTTTCTGGCCATTAACCTGAGTTGAATCAGTGATTTGCACTTGCCACCAGGTGGAACGCATTGGTTGCAGCCACATAACTACACCTGTTTGCTTTTGTTGCTCCGAGTCAAGACAGTATCCACATTTCGCTGGGTCAAGATCGGCAACAAAAATGCCACAAATGCGGGTGGATGCTGAATGAATCTTGAAATATGTGTGGAGCGCATGCGCGGCAGTAGTTGCTCTATGTATAGAGCATAAGAATAACTATTATAATACCTATTTTAATGGTGAGCTAAACAAAATCTTCTAAATGGTTATATTTTTATGAGTTTTCAAACTTTATTTTAAAATTGAGTGAGTCGTAACCACAGCAGTCCACTCAAATGTCGTTTACTTTCTCACAGTAAACCATTATTATGCGGTTGTGTTTTTGTCTGATAAGTACACTGAAACACACAAGTGCAGGTTCGTGTACCTGTGTGTGGGGGCACCCTTACCCTCCCTCATAATGGGAGGGTAACAACATGCATGCCAAACACATTTACATACAAATCTGCTCACACATTCGAGTGTCCCCCCATTGTTGTTCCCAAGCTTTTGGATGATTCGTTGGTTGTGGTGTACTTTTTTTTGTTTGTTTTTTTTTCTCCTAGTACCGACATCAACTGAGTCCCAGTGCTAATTGCGATTATCTCACACGAATATACAAAATATATATACAGATACGTACATCGCAGACGACGACGCCAACAGCGACGTTAACTGCAACTGAGATAGCGACTGCGTTCAAATTTGAATTCATTTTCGAGTTGGGAAAAAAGTGGCAAGTAATTTCGAAAAAATATTCTTACTGTCTAGTCAGTAGGGTTTTAGACGTGTTACCGGACGTTACGTGGGTGGTGGCCAAACATTGCAACTGCGAAATCGGAACAAGTGTGCTTCAAGTGAAAGTGAAACCTGAAAAGTGAATAAAAAGGGAGAGTATTATCTCTTCAAGATCACTTCAGGTTCTAACCGTGTATTATTTTTAATCCTATCCATCTTGTATGCTTAAGTGGTGTCAGTACCTTGTAATTAAAATACCTAATTGCTGTGAAAGAGCTTAAAAGCGTTGCTGTCAGCAGCGACCTTGGCAGTGTGGAATATAGATCTTAAGATAAATATAATGAAAAGTGCTTCGTTTTTGGTCTGGCTCTGCCTCAGTCCCAGCTTAAGTTGGGCCGATCCCCAGCTGAACCTGCCCACCCCCCGTCCAGAGGTGTTCTACAACGGCTATACCCCGAATGTGGCCACCACACCCGCCCAACTGCGAGCGGACCGGGATCGAGACCAGCGGTACGGGCCGCCCTATTCCGACGAGGGCGGCGGGGGCCAAGCCGACGATGGTCTGGACGACTTTCGGGTTAGAGTTGTCCCAGATGAAGAATGTTGTTCAAGGACAATATGTTATCCTTGCCCATCTCCCTTTCAGTTCGGCCAGACCAATGATGAGCGCCAAAGGATCGGTTATGCGTACCCTTCCCCTCGTGTCAACTTCAGTGACTCCCCCTTTAGCGGGGATCGTTATTCCAACCACAATTATGGACCCATTTCGAGCACCACGGATCGGGCTTTTGGAAATGATCCCAACTTGAACGGCCGCCTCTCGGACGTACCCTATTCCACCCAAGGAGACCGAAACTTCAATCCCAACGATCAGTACAACTACAATAACAATCCAAATGTGGAATTTGTGGGCGTCAACAACCGAAATCGTTTCGAAAACCCCTTTCTTTCCAACCAGGATCGATTCAACCTGAATCAGGGCTATCTGGAGCGACAAAGGTACCAGCAGGACCGTCGCTACCAACAGGAGCTAGAAAAGCTGCGCACCCTACTCGTGGAGTCCGACCAGAAAGGATCCCTAGAGTGCACTGCCAACGTGGCCGCCCAGTGGAATTTCGAGACGAATGTCAACGATTTTACCCAAACGGAAGCGGTGAGTGAGCGGTTTTGGCCAAATGGAAAATACGTTCGTTTTCGTCCATCATGTAATTGTGGTTACGAGGCACGCGATCTTTGCAGTGGTGGGGGTGAATTTTCTCATGGGCCACGATACCAGATTTCTTACATACACGCACCCACTCGGCTTAGTTAGAAAAGTCGAGCTCTCAAGGTCGCAGTGCCTTGTCAGATTCCCAGGCAGACATGCCAATGTCAAAGCGCTATATGTACACAGATTTTCCGAGCTACGAGTGTCTTGATGTTTTGCGGAATATTTGGTGATTGAAGTTAGTTGCTGAGAGGGCTTTATGTTTTACAAACTACGATACCTAGATTTAAAAGCGTTTGGAGCTCATCGAAAAGGTTTATTAGGATTTGGTAACTATATAAGTTGCTATAGGAAGTGGGCCATTTTATGGGAGGAATTAATGCATTATCAAATAGTTACAGCTTTGTTGGATGTATGATAAAAGCCAGCAGTAAATTGATATTCCAAATATGTTATTATGTTTTATTTTCTTAGCTTTACTTAAAGAAGTATTTATGTCGGTACATCTTTTTCTTTCAAAATTAAAAATATCCAAATGAAAGTGGATTGGCGAAGTCTATTTGATATATCTATAAGCTTTTTCAGTGAGACTTCTAGAATACGAAAGCAATGCAAATGCCGATTTTACAGATTTCAAATAAATATTATTTTAAATTATTCCTATTATCTTTAATTTATTTCCCCAGCTCAATGCCCAGCAGCGTTATGTCGAATTTCAACGTATTACTGCCGAACAATCTAAACGAATTAACAAAGATCTCATTTTCGATCGTCGCCTCTACAGACAACTGATGTTGCAGTCTGAAGTGGGGCCCAATGCTCTGCCCCTGGATGTTCTAGACCGGGTTAGTGTAAGCCATTATTATGATATTTTTAAACTTATATATTTTCTCTCCCTTAGTACAATCGTCTGCTTAATGAGATGCTGTTCCTGTACAACAGCGCCAGCATTTGTGCTTACCAGCAGCCTTTTCAATGCGACCTTCACTACATACCAAACTTGAAAGACATCATGGCCAAGAGCAGGGATTGGGACGAGTTGCAGCACACGTGGGTGGAGTTCCACAGAAAGGCGGGTCGGGGCATGCGGGATAGCTATGAGCAGTTGATTGACGTCATGCAGGAGGTGGCCTATGTGAATAGTAAGTGGGTTAACCTCGATCCTCGATTCAAACATAACATATATTTTTCTTTCAGATGTGACCAATGGCGGGGAGTATTGGTATTTGGCCTATGAGTCCGGGAACTTCCGGCAGGATATGGACATCGTTTGGGAACAGATACGTCCTCTTTACGAAAGCCTACACGCGTATGTGCGGCGGAAGCTGAGGGATTACTATGGACCGGATAGGATCAACCGCATAGCTCCGATTCCCTCCCATATTCTTGGCAACATGTACGGCCAGTCGTGGTCGAATGTGCTGGACATCCTGATACCCTATCCGGGACGCAAGTTGATCGACGTCACGCCTCGCATGGTGGAGCAGGGTTATACGCCGCTTCTGATGTTTCAGCTGGCCGAGGAGTTCTTTACTTCGATAAACATGTCAGCCGTGGGACCGGAGTTTTATCGAAACTCGGTTTTTGAACAGCCATTGGATCGGAGGGTTCTGTGCGAGCCCTCCGCCTGGGACTTTTGCAATCGCCACGATTTCCGTGTGAAGCTCTGCACGGACATCAATCAGAGGAGTCTGATTAGTGTGCACCACGAAATGGCCCACATTCAGTATTTCCTGCAGTACCGACACCTTCCCAAGATATTCCGGAACGGCGCCAATCCTGCCTTCCACCAGGCCGTGGGCGATGCCATCGCCTTGTCTGTTTCAACTCCTCGACACTTACAAACTCTAGGATTGCTCCAAAGATCGCTGGACGAGTCTAGTTACGATATCAACTATCTTTTCACCATGGCAATTGATAAGGTAAATGTTTAGGCTTACTGTCAGCTATATTACTTGATAAAACTTAATTTTTTTCATAAAAAAAGATTCAATATTGTACCCAATTAGTTGAATATTATTTCATAACTCTGATCTGAAAAAACATACCATTTAGGGAAACCCATGGCGGATTTAATTTTTTCTTTTAAAAATGTTAGGGATTAATATAAATTATTTTGCAATAATAATTGCAGTCATACAATTTTCATTAGAATTTTAAATTTCTTTAATATTTCCATCATTATGATTTTATTTTGTGCTACATTTCGTGCTAGATGGAATTGTTATTGAAACATAAAACTACATTGTCTGTCTATTAAATGTTTGTTCTTAAAATGAAACTAAAAGTTTTCAAAAACATTTCCTGAATACATAAATGTAGTGTCTAATTAGAAAAAGTCTATGCCAGTGGCGGATTTAACAGGTGGGCAAAGGCGCGCTTGCCCACTGGGCCCCCCCGACGAAAGGATTTCAGGGCCCCTCGTGCTGAAAGTTACGCCTTCGATTTCTTTTCCACAAATCTGCATCAAAATCTGGGAACAAAATATTTTTAAGATTTTTTGTCAAATTTTCTGGGCTGTCCCCTTCAAAATGTGCAAAATGCATGGGGAGCCCCATATGACCCACTGCGTAGGCCATATCTTAGGAAATATTCATCCGATTCTTGAGCGGAATACTTTAAACGATTTGTGGATCGATTCTCCATAAATCTGCATCAAAATCTGGGAACAAAATATTTTTAAGATTTTTTGTCAAATTTTCTGGGCTGTCCCCTTCAAAATGTGCAAAATGCATGGGGAGCCCCATATGACCCACTGCGTAGGCCATATCTTAGGAAATATTCATCCGATTCTTGAGCGGAATACTTTAAACGATTTTTGGATCGATTCTCCATAAATCTGCATCAAAATTTGGGAACAAAATATTTTTAAGATTTTTGTCAAATTTTCTGCCCCTTCAAAATGTGCAAAATGCATGGGAGCCCCATATGACCCATGCGTAGGCCATATCTTAGGAAATATTCATCCGATTCTTGAGCGGAATACTTTAAACGATTTTTGGATCGATTCTCCATAAATCTGCATCAAAATTTGGGAACAAAATATTTTTAAGATTTTTTGTCAAATTTTCTGGGCTGTCCCCTTCAAAATTTGCAAAATGAATGGGGAGCCCCATATGACTCACTGCGTAGGCCATATCTTAGGAAATATTCATCCGATTCTTGAGCGGAATACTTTAAACGATTTGTGGATCGATTCTCCATAAATCTGCATCAAAATTTGGGAACAAAATATTTTTAAGATTTTTTGTCAAATTTTCTGGGCTGTCCCCTTCAAAATGTGCAAAATGAATGGGGAGCCCCATATGACTCACTTAGGCCATACTTAGGAAATATTCATCCGATTCTTGAGGGAATACCTTAAACGATTTCTGGATCGATTCTCCATAAAGCTGCATCAAAATCTGGGAACAAAATATTTTTAAGATTTTTGTCAAATTTTCTGGGCTGTCCCCTTCAAAATGTGCAAAATGCATGGGGAGCCCCATATGACTCACTGCGTAGGCCATATCTTAGGAAATATTCATCCGATTCTTGAACGGAATACCTTAAACGATTTGTGGATCGATTCTTCATAAATCTGCATCAAAATCTGGGAACAAAATATTTTTAAGATTTTTTGTCAAATTTTCTGGGCTGTACCCTTCAAAATACCCTTCAATGTACCCTAAAAAAATTTTGCCCACTGGGCCTTTTTCCTTAAATCCGCTACTGGACTATGCATACTTGTATAAAACTAATAAATATTTTGGAACTACTCGGAACTTCGGAAGACTATATAACTTTATCTTTCAGGTAGCTTTTTTGCCCTTTGCCTTATCTTTGGACAATTGGCGTTACGATGTGTTTAGTGGAAATGCAAACAAGCGAACCATGAATTGTCATTACTGGAATATGCGGTGGGTACCCTAACACATATACATATGTTGGAAAACAGTTTTATTGAATTCATTTTTTTCAGAGAAAAATATTCGGGAATAAAGCCGCCAGTTCTGCGGTCAGAAATGGACTTTGACATGGGCGCCAAGTACCACATCCCCGCAAATATCCCCTACATCAAGTAAGTGTCAAAATATTCTATTTATTTCATTATTTCTCCAGTTGGTTGCATAATTAGTGGCAATATTTTCTCCTTTTTAATTATATTGCTGCATAACTAGAGCAATTAAAATGCGAGCTGCTGCATGTTATTAATTTTGCTATTTCTGATTGCAATTTACACACGATTTCGAACATTTTCCGTCAAATTGCCGGCGATTACGCGTTGCGATCGCTGGGATCGGCGAACCGACCATAAAGTTGGCCCACTAACTTATGGCATAATGGCCAACACAGGCACACTGGCGGAGCGGTGGAAAAAAATGAAATGAAACTGAAAACTCACATGTCTGCAATGTTTCCCGCATTCACTTTCCACTTGGCTGCTACCGCCGAGAAAAAGCGGGTTTAGTTGGCCATCATTTGAATAAGTCCGGACGAAAAGCAATTACGAAAATCCAGACACCACACGATATCCATTCGAGCTCTTAACCCACTAATCTACAAATATTTTCTTTCTTTAGTTTTCCTTGTATTAGCACTTTTGACGGGGTCTAATTTAGTTGTTTTCCTTAAAAAAAAAACAAAGTTCAACTGTTGCTAAAGACAGTAAAATAAAATAATTAAAACCTAAGTTTCTTATATTTTAATATGGTAAACTTAGACTGGAGTCTGTTGTCTTGTCGACCTCAGTAACGAAGTACTCGCTCGACTCCCCATCAGAGCCATTAGCCAGATTTTATTGTGGCCATTCTTTTGGCATTAGCCGCACTCTAAGAGGGGAAAACAGGAGGCGTTGAGGATTGGGGATTACAACACCAGGTCTCAGGCATTGTGCTGGCGATTATTTATTGCATAATCAATAAACTGCAAATGCTACAGTTACATAAACAAAGCTACAAGAAACAACTAGCCACCAAGAGAGTTAGCCCCAATATGGTAATAAAACGGAGCTGGGCCTCTTGCTCTGACGGGTCTCCAGCGGTTCAAATATCGGTTAGCGGCACATGTCCTACAAACCGACTGGGGGAAAAACGTGATAAATCCATGGCCCACTTTATTTAACCCACTCTGCAAATTGCAGCGGCTTCAATGAAGCCGAAAATGCAAATTGAAACCAAATCTTTGCGGTCGCTGCAACAAGCCAACTGTGCCGCAGGCAAGGCAGCTCTGAAAACCGAAACCTCCTCGCTGGTGCTAATAAAAAGTAATGCCCACACCGCAAAATAAACGCTAGGAAATGGACTCGCGGAGCTCGTGGAAAGCGAAATGATGGTGTGGAAAATGTAATAAACATGTTGCACCGTCCAGTCTAGTCCGAGGTCTCTCGAGTCCCCTTGCAGCGCCTTGTGGCAGCCCCCTATGACCACCCCTGGCTGGCTGGCTGTCTCCGTGGGCGAGACAGTCTGAATATGCAATTATGAACGCAAGGCGATGTTTAGCTCATTTGAAAATTAGATAAGACATTTATGGGCAATAGAGGAACGACTTGATTCCATGCTTGGCTGCCTCCGTGCGCCAGGGTGGCTATGAGTGTGTGTTCGGCCAAGGTAAATAGTTGCAATCACACGAAATTAATTGGCTATAAGAGGGCCAAATCATAGATTTAACAATCTGAACATAGGGACAGGTGATTAAAAACACCTCTTACTATCTTACTATTTATTCAAAGACAGCAAACACCTCTTTTAAGCTATACTCTGCTAATGTCTCATGTAATGCCTCATGTTTGCCAAATACAAATGTTTGTAATTGCAAATATTGGTTTATGTAATGAGCTAATGCGGAACTCAAATAGTCTTTAGACCAAAAGTAACTGGGGGAAATAGTAAAAGCACATTGGAGTATCTTGTTTTGATCACTTGATTTTCATTGATTTATTTGTGTATCGTTCATCAGCTTCATTTTGTATGAGATTTTCGTTTTTCGATTTTATACAGAGTTGGAAAAATATTTGGTAAATTAAGTACTTTTTATAAATCCGTTTCTTCTGCTTTCCTACGAGTAAACAATGTTACATAAGATGATTTAAAACTAGGTAGCAATGAATATTACAAAACTAATACAATACGTTCGATTACAAACTGACTTAAATAGGCGTCTCCTATCTCGAATATCGCACAAGCTTAAACGCTATCAGAAGTCTTATCACACGCTCACATCGCTGGGGCGCTGCACACAACTGGACGAAGGACTCCGGACATCGGGGGTGTTCCAGAGTCGATGGGTGCACGAGTCGGGGTGGACCAGAGCAGAAGAGGGAGGAGCCGCGGCTGGAGGACAAAACAGCAGCGGCAACCACATCGATGATGCACCCAGGCGATGATTATGATGTTGGTGGTCAAATGTCGATCGCTTCCTTCCTTCCTTTCATCCATCCATCCATCAATCCACTGGTTTCCATGGTGTGTCTTGGTGGTGGTGTTGAATGGGAGTGGGTTGGTGTTCGGATCTTGATCTTGACCTGAATCATCCCTAGTTGTTGTTGTTGTTGTGTGGGTCATGCCCAAATGTGTCGCTTAGAAGTCTTAACTAAAGTTCCTTTACAATTCACTCATTCACATAGCTCACGGGTGTTCGTCAACGTTTTTCAGGGTATCCGTTAGTGTGTGTTTTGTGTTTAATTTTTTTAGGTTTTATGTTTTATGGCTTACGGCTAGAAGAGATTTCGGTCTAAAAGCTAAGTGTTCGTCTGTCTCTCGTCTGGTTTCTCTGAATCTCTGTCATTTATCACGATCTGCATTGCATTGTGGGGATATGGTATTGTTATTCGAGTGGAGTGGTATGATATGATCGGGTTATGGTTTATGGTGTTTGGTTTATGGTGTTCTCAATGTTCGGGTTTCTTTTAGTTTTTGGGAATAATGTGGAAATGGAAACTTTTGGTTTGGCCATCCCAGGTCATTCTCAATGCTGCAAAGAAAAGCGAAAGCGAGAAAGAGAGAGAGAGAGAAGAGATCAGTTCACCAATTTAGTAGCCGTGATATGAATGATAATCATGAGAGGCAAAATCATGCTCCACCTCGTGCTCGTGCTCCACGATGGGGTGCGAGTGATGCGAGTGGTGGATGGGGGCGTGGTGGTGGTCCTCCTCGATGTGCTTGTGGATGAACTCCGGCTCCTTGTAGCTGATGTGCTTCTCGTGGTACTCCGGCACGTGCTTCTCGATGTGGACATGGACGGGCTTCTCCACGGGGATCTTCACGGGGTACGGAACGTGTTTCTCCACCTTGACTGGCACCTCCTTGATCACCGGGTAGGGGGCGGGCACATGAACCTTGACCTCGTACGGCACAGGCTTGTCAACGTGCACGGGCACGGGGCGGTCATACGGCACATGGACGGGCACGGGCACCTTCTTAATCACGGGTACTGGCACTGGCTTGTCCACATAGTGGGGCACTGGTTTGTCCACGTAGTGGGGCACTGGCTTCTCAACGGGCACTTTCACGGGATAGTGGACAACCTTCTCGACGGGATAGGGCTTGTCGACATGCACGTGCTTCTCCACGTTGTAGTGGACAACCTTCTCCACTGGATAGGGTGCTGGGACATGGACCTTGACTGGCACATGGACCTTTTTCTCAACCGGGTAAGGAGCGGGCACATGGACCTGCAACACAATCAAGGAGTCATACAGGGACCTAACTAAGCCTCATAAATAGTAAACCCACCTTTACGGGAACGGGACGATCGTAGGGCACATGGACGGGTACTGGAACCTTCTTTTCGACGGGATAGGGAGCTGGCACTTCGTAGGGCACTTTGACAATCTCTTTGACCTCATAGGGCACGTGCTTGATCACGGGGTAGGGCTTTGGTACCTTGACCTTCACGGGCACATGGATGTGTTTCTCAACGGGCACGTGCACAATCTTCTCGATGGGCACTGGCACTGGGACCTTCTTGATCACTGTCAGTGTCTTTTCCTCGTGCACTGGGAAGTGGGGCACATGGTGGTGGTGGTAGTCCTCGTAGTGGTGCAGACCGCGCTTGGATTTGGTGGTGTCCTCGCTGGTCGCTGCCTTGGCTTCTGGCTCGACCTTTTTCTCTTCGGCCGGGGCGGCAGCCTTCTCGTCCTCAGCCCGGACGTAGCTGGTGGCCAGGAGCAGGACCAGGGCCAGCGATGTCGCTGTGCGCTGTAATTTAAAGGATTTGGGGTTAGGAAGTCTATAGATCTTTAGATGGGTCTTAGATCATGAATGTTTTAAAGTAGTTTGAATTATTTAAGATATTCCGAGCGATTTATCAATTTTCAATCAAAGATGACCAATTACTGAATCTTAACTTTGAATCATTTATAGTCTTGTGGAATTTTTTTGAAATTTAATTTTCATTTCAAGTATTTTTAAAGTCCTCTGGCACTGTTGACTTACCATTAACTTCATGCTTCTACGTGTATCCTTCGATGGACGGGAATGGAAATCCGTTTTCCCTGGTCGTGTGGCACGCGATTGGCCCGCGGTCTGCGAGAACTGATCCCGTTTGAGTCGAGGGATGGTTACTTGGGATCACTATTGGTCTACACGTTCCGTACCACTCTTGGGCTGTAGACTGTTCGACGGTTAACGGTTTAATGATGCCAACTGCAGCGCTGGTGCGCACATTTATAGTTCCCAATCCCAAGTCGCCGAGTGGATGGATGCACGAAGCGAATGCGCGACCACCAAGCCAAGTTGGAGCCAAAACCAAAGCCAGGCCAGGCCGAAGACGAAGAGCAGGCAGCAACAACGATCGGGCACAATAATAATAATCGCAATAGCCCAAAACACATGCGGCGCAGCGAATGGTGAGCGGTCCCTCTGGTTGTTGTTGCGTTTTGGTATTTTAGTTGCTGCTTAGTTGTGTGGTTGTTGTTGTAGTTGCCTATCTACTTTGCCTTCGGCGGCGGTCTGCTAGCTTCGCTGGATTTTCGAATTTCGGAGGCGCGAACTCAACGCAGCCAAGCGCCAAATGCAGCGCTACCATCGTCGAAAGAAAAAACCATAAACCAAAGATACAAGCCAGAATGGCAGCCGTCTTAAAAAGCCTACTTTTGGCATACCCTTCAAGTAGACAAAGATATTTTAGAATTGACTTTATTATTTTTTAAATTAGGATTAGGAAATTTATTAGGATTTGCATTTACAATTATGTTTTCAAATACTTAAAAAAAAAAACTATTATTGTATGCAAGTAGATTTTATATTTTCAGTTTATAATCATAAGCTAAGAAAAGCCTTTTTAATGAAAGGCATTCCCAATGACATTTATATTAAATTAAATTTTAGCTATTAATAGAATTTTTGTCGTTGTAAAAACAAGTGGTCTTAAGTGGCTGCCACCAACCTCTTTTAAAAATCGTAAAACTCTTCATAGAGGAACACTGAATATAAGATTGCAATATACAGAGGAAATCCATCGCATTGGCAGGAGGGGGTTCCGTCAGGGGATCGGCAGACGAAATGCAGACGAGGGTCTATGGATGCGTGCCATTTTGCTGTTTAATTCGACTACCGTCAGCTGCCGTTTTATTTTTATTTTTCGCTTCTTGCTGCCGCTTTTGTGGCTGCCACTGCTGCTGCAGCAAGTCCAATGCACGTAAAAGGCTTGAGAAACCGCAACAGCAGGCACCACTATTTCTGGCTGGTAATTGAATAATACCCAAATGGATGAGCCGCCTTCAAGCCACTTCGAGTGTTGAGCTGTTTGTCGGTTTGTTGGCGGTTTTCATTTCAATGTTGTTTTTATGTTAATCACAGATGATTATGTACTCGCAATGGTACTTTGCGGAATTTTAGAGAATGAATAAGCTCTTTTGGAAATTAAATATATATTGTTTGGCTTTATTTATAGAATGAAGGAAAACCTTAGATTTCTTATTCATTAGGTTTCAGTTTTACTTTCAAAAGCCCGACCTTTTTCTTTCAATGGGAATACCATATTTATCCTTATGCCCCTCACTTTTCATTGCACCCTTTTTTGGGTCTCGACGCCTGGCTTTTCTCTTCCTAAACTGACCACAGACAATCCCCTGTCTGGCTGTCATCTGAATCCTTTTACTTTTTCCCTACTCCCCCTTGCATTATGCCATTATCTCGTTCACCCGACCCAGTCCCAATAATCCACAACCAGTTTCCGCAAGCTGACAGGTGGCGGCGATCGCGGGGACGAGGGGAGAATGTAATCTGGAGACTGGCGAGTGTGTCAGTCGGTCAGCTCGGTTGTGTCACTGCTCTACATGTCCGGGCAGACACGGGCGGTCACCAACCATAACCTAAGACAAAAAGACGACAGCCGAACCGAGACGAGCCCGTCCAATCCATTCATTTGATTCCATTTCAATTGCCGCGTAATTGACACCACCAGTAGCACCGGGCAGGTCTACCCGAGTCCAAGTGGAACCTGGCCGGGGCGGGGTCTGGTCTTAGTCCGATTACCTTCCTCGTTATTATGTCAATGGGTCTTCAGTCAGCTGCGGTTTGGCACACATATTGTGTCCAGGTATACGAAAATATCACACTTATGACTAGTATGGATACGAGTATAAGGTGCGAGTCATATACAAAATACATATTTCAAAATGTTTATTTAGGTATAGTAACGTTTTTATAGTATGTATTTAAAATTTTAAAGAAAAAATTTAAGGAATTTTTAAATATCCTTACGTTGATAGATAGAAAACAAGGATATAGATGTGTGGGTGATATTATTTTAAAAAAAGATGAACCAGTTGCATGTTTTTTTGGAAGCATCTCGGCCACTGAGGCATTTCATTTTCATTGGTTTTTTTTGAATAAATGTTCTTAAAATTTATACTTCAACTACCAATTAATGTATGATGGCTTGTATTTGCTTTATATCTATGTTAAGCACTGTATAATCCAAGACTTGTTACGATAGCAAATATTTTCTCGCTTTCGTTGCATGCCTGCAACTTTCGATTTCGTTTCAATTCGCGTTTGTTGCATGTCTTGACCACATTGTTTGATTCACATTTCCACAACCGGCAGAAAGAGATGGGAGAAAGCCAGAAGAGAAAGATATGGAAAGACGGAGGGGTAAAGTTGGAAGGTGGCGCTAGACGCTCCAGCTCCAGCTCCTGCTCCAGCTGATGGTGATTATGTCATGGGTTTGTTTGCTGGAGCGCACGCCTACCGCCCGAAAGATGATTTCGAGTACATTGTCTCTGCCTCATCATAATCAGTGTTGGAGTGCAATTACTTCCTCGACATAATTACCATATGAGTGCCTGTGCACCTGCTTATACGTACATAGCTTCTTCATCGCCCGCCTCGATTGTGTGGGCCCTTGCCTTCGTCGAAGATCGTCATTCGATTGGGGCTTAACTCCTTTGTGGCTGTGTATTCAGGCTGCAGCTCGTTTGTTTACATTGTCTCCGTTGGCCTGACCTTGCCGCGTTCAGTTTGGCGCATAAACTAAGCTTTACATAAATACATTCATCTTTTTGTGCCTTTTCGGGGGCCTTTATTTGTCAACAAAAGTGTCAAAGTTGAACCAGCGGCCAATTGATCATCTATCTATAGATAGATATAGACGCGGCCAGCTCTGATTTGCATTTGGATTTTGGATCCCCGCTGCCTGATTTGTGTAACAATTCATTGTCGCGGCCCGGTCATTCCATTCCACTTCGTTCCCAATCGCCATCGCTGCTGGGTGCTGCCATTTGTGATGTCTCAAATCTTGGACGACTTCCAACAATATATAGAGCTGTAAGCCATGTAGGCGAAAACGACAGTTATGACATTTTATGTGCCGTTTACAAAAGTCTCTTTTAGCCGCTTGTCACCTACAGTTTTTCTTTCGACGGTTGCGGTTACCACTTGTCAAGGCGTGTAACGGTTTTTGGGTTTCGGTGTTTCACCGTTGTAGATGTTGGGGCTACCACAGGGTTCATTGAATTTCTGGTCAAGGTCGTTGCTGTGGCTTGTTAGCCTGCCCAGCTAACTGAAAAGTTGGCCACAAATAAATGGCAACGATTTAAGTTTCAAGCGAAATTATTTGCGACAATCAACAGGAGAAAAAGTTATTTAAATAGACACTAACTACCTAAAAATTGCTAAGACAATGCTTTCTAAAAATATACATGAATCTGCATGAGACTCTGTTTTCAATTGAATTTACAGGGAAATCCCTTGTATCAAGGTCAAACCTTGCCTGCCAAGATACTTTATTAGGTAAATAAATGTTTATTATAGACATTATCTGTTCGTTATTCAGGTTAAAGATCCAATCCACTAAACTGGCCAGGCGAGTAAGCTGCATTTGTTGCCCTCACAATTCACTCTCACTTTCGACTACGACCCCTTGTTGCAATTAGAGCTCGATCGGGGTTTACAATCTGGGTTTAAAGGCATCTTTGAACTGATCGGCGAAATAACACACCGCAGTAACCAGTGGGGAAATAGGGTCAATGGCAAAAGCATTTGAACTCTTGTGGCGCGTGAGCCGGCGTCTTCGGTTATTTTCGAATGGAAAATAATCGTATTGGGGCACATGTCGGAGAAGCCTTGTTGATTTGGTCACATTGTCACGCGCTGTTGGCCGCTTCGGCTGTACTCAATTAAGCCAAAGAAAAACATAAACACAGAGCCATGGATATCTATATCTCTTTATAGATTGTACAGCTAACCGTGACGTTCACTTAATCAAGTTTGTGGCTCGAGTCACCGTTTTTTTTGGTGGGCAGCGGGCACAAAGCTAAACTGATTAATAAGGAAGTCGAGGCGACGGTAAGCCTGCGACCCACCTGCGAATTTATGCAGATTTTCGGCCGAGAAAGCCAGAAAAACCAGTCAAAGAAAAACTGTTTAATAGCATAATAATTCCGCCTTTGGGCCAGCTTTGTGTCGGACAGATGTTGCGGGTTGTAATAGTTGACCCATTGACTTAGTCAACAAATTTTGCATGGATGGCAGAAAGTTTTCGAAATATCGTCAGGAAAATCCACGAGGTGCTGTCGTCACTTCTTCAGCAGAAATTATTTTAAATATAGACTTTAATTTTGATTCGAATTTGCGTTTGCTTTTGGTTTTGTTTTTGTGGCCATAATTACAACAACATACAAAGTCGAGAAACAAAGTTGGCAATCCAATGCTAAGCTCTTAGCTCTTGTTGTTGCCGCAAATTGCGTAAATTGAATAAACATTATGCTGTAGCTTAGCCCAAACTTTTAGATAGCCGCTTCGTTTCTGGTCGGCGTTTTCGTTTTACATTTTGTAAATCTGTTTTGGCAGCGCTTTGTTGCCTTCTGAGCCGCACTGAGGCGAGGCAGCAATCAAACGAGGTGAGCCCAACAACTTCAAAAAAGCTAATACTATCCACCTAGTCCTTTATTTCAGGGCTTCCAGTACGGTTTTGTTAGAGGTTTTAGTCGTGGTTTGAATAAAAAGAGTTCAAATAGCATTACAATTTTACAAAATAGTACTGCCATACATACATGGCGTATGAGTAATTTTAATTCAACATAAATATATCTTTAACTTTTCTTGATTACTGACAAAGCACACCTCGCCCAGTCTAACAATATAGAGCGGAGCGTAATTAGGCAGCACTTAAATGACTGTAAATTAACAAAACAACAGC